GCCCGTCCGCGGCGGCCCGGAGGGTCCCCGGGAGGCGGCGTTGGGCCGGGCGGGCGGGGGAGCCCCGCGCCGGCGAAGTTCGGGCGGAGGAGCGAGTGCCCCGGCGCGGGCAGGGACCGCGGGGCGCGGAGTGCGCGCTCGGGCTCGCTTGCCCCAGAGAAAAAAATTGCACTGAAGGAGAGGCCAAGGTGCTCGGTTGAGTTAGGAGTAGCTGTCTGGGAACCCTGTCTTGCTTGATCCAGAGTCATAATTGTAGTATCATTTCATAATTGTTTTATAAACTCACACCGTTGTCGAAATCCGGTATGATTTCATGAAGTTTTGTTTCTTGCTACTTATCAGTGATCTGCAGCTGACTGGTGTGTTTGGTTATGGGTACAGGCTCAACAGCTTCACCCTGGTTACACTGTAAAGTTTGAGAAAATAAGTACTGATACTTTTTAGTGTATTCTGCTCAAGAGAAGGGTGTGGGGACTAAAGAAACATGTGACTTTATCACCATTTAAAAAAAAAAAAAAAAAGAAAAGAAAAATCCTCCAAACAAACACGAACCACAGACGAGTCTCAGTTACCAGTTCCAGACTTGTTTCTCATGATTGTGGCCTCTTCTACTATGTGATGTAGAGAACATTTACTGTTATGTTGAAGAAATTGAAGGTCAGAAATATGTACACTGTAGGACTATAAATATTATTTCATTCTTCTGAACCATGAAGATAAAACCCTAAAATCCTAAATCCTTTTCCAGAATGTTATGCTGACTTCTTCAGAGAAGACTTTGATGTGAAAGCTTACACTTCCCAGTCCATCCATCAGGCTGTGATAGCTGAGCAGCTGGCTAAACTTGCTCAAGGTATTAGTCAGTTGGATAAAGAGCTGCATGTACAAGTAAGTTTAAAGCATACCTGTTACTCTGGGGTGATTGATATAAACTAGTCAAAAACTTAGTATTCTTATAAGCTTGTAACTTGTGAAATTGTCCAGTGTCCTCTACAAGCTGTTACTAAAGGTACAGCTTGCAGCTAAACTAGTAGTGAGTTTGACAACTCAGTTAAGCCCGCCCTCAATGCTGCTACCAGGCAGCCATGTACTTTTTCAGTTTTTGTAGTCTTATCACTGTATGCTGTTTTACTCTTCCTTGTGAGAAGGAAGACTCTTTACAAATTATTGTGTCAACTATCACAAACACTTGAGGCCATGTTTCAGCATGGCATTGTGAGAAGATAGGGAGAGCTTGCACCCTTACATCCTGTGCTGAAGGGTAGCATAAGCCCTAAGACTTGCCTTTAGCTAGGCAGATACAACCTATGTTAACACACCTCTACACCTTCAGGAAGGCTTTTGAGTTAAGATAGAAGACTTTTTCTATGCAGAAATCATAAATCCACAGTAGACATTGCAATGAGAACACTTGTTACGTTTGTGTGTAGTTTCAAAACTTGCTTCCTCCCACCCCTGCCCCAGTTAGTAAGTTCTTTGGGAACTAGTTTATAAATGTCATAAATAGAAAAAAAAAAGAATATACATTATGGTGTGATTAGTAACTTCACATTTACAATTATTATTAAATATCAAGATGTGTTGAAATGTGATTACTCTGCTGGCTTTAATTAAGAGGTCAGCATCTTAATTAATTACTGATCATCTTCTCATTCTGAGCTTGCTGCTTTTGTGAGTTAAAACACCTTGTGTTCTTAAAAGCCTTTCTCCTGTAAGATGTACCTGCTTTTCCCTGCATCTGGGTAATGCAGGGATGCTGGCACTTAAATGCCTAATGTAGGACTGATGGTGATACATTTAATACTTCTTTTAGGCTCATGACCCTATTTTTCTCTTTTGATGTCTATATTGTTTTTTTTTAAGGTTGTTGCAAGACATGAAGATCTGTTGGCCCAAGCAACTGGTATTGAATCCTTGGAAGGTAAATATTGTTATATTATGCTGGCTATCCTTACAGTGGAGGAAGAACTTTTAGGATCTGTGCAGGAAACATATTCACTGCCAGCTTTGGCCCCTAATGTTAAATCTCCAGATCTGATTTCTGAGGAGTAACCTGTGGCAGCTTTTTTATTTTTATTTTTTTTCTAACGTCAGTAGATGGAGCTCCAAGGAGAAGATTTGGCTGATACTTCTGTGGAGTAGCTGCTTCATCAGAAAATGTGTTTTGATAATGTTCTGAGCAACTTTAGCAATAAAGCCTTCTTTGGCCTTTTAATATATTTTTCTAAACAAGCCTGATTTTGTTGCAACATTGGTAGATATCTGTTGTCATAAGCACCAGCTTTCTGTTGCACATGCATGTGGTGCATAGTTTGTACATCTTAACCAAAGAGGCTGTAACACATAATCTAAACTGTGTTGAGATACTTTTTACTAGGGAAGGGCTACTAAGTTAAATACATACCTTTGTTTTATTCCACTCTTTGAGACGTGTATTTTAACATAAACTGCTAATTTTCAAAGGCTTGCTTAGGAGCCATTGACTCTGTATTGAAGATGGTTGCACTATATTGTTCTTGGGCAAGGAGCTCATTAACCCTGCAATTCTGCTCTTTGTCAGTTTGCTGAGAGTGTCATATGGTTTGGTATTGTGGTGGATTTTTTGGTGAAGACAGATATTTACCTCCGTAACCTGCTAGAATCTCTATAGCATGCCCCCTTTTCCCCTTTGAACCTGGTAGGTAATTTATCTTTGTTCCTTTTTCTGCTTTCAGGTTTTGGCATAACCAGATTTTCTGGTTCCTAATAGTTATATCCTTAGTCTTTGGAGCTGCTTGGGTTCACTGTTTGGTGTCAGTAATTGCATATAGCTGTAAAACTAAAGAAATGGCTGTTTAATCTAGTAACAGTAGCTCCTGAATAAGTTTTTAAAAAGTTGGAGAATCAAGTGTAAAGAACTGAAATATGTGTAATTCTCCAAAAAAGAAGGAGACAGGAATATATAGTCAATCTTGTGACTGATAAATACCTCCCGGTAACAAACTTCAGCAATTGGTCTCAGTGAAATTCTGTTTTCTGAAATGATGGTTGTTTCTGAAGGCATTTCTTCCTAAAATTGCTCTGAGGAAAGAATGATGTACTTCAAAACAACTAGTCAGTTAGGAAACATTTCTATAAGGCAGGTGTAGTAAATAATGAATGTTTTACAACTAATATGGCAAAGTAAAAATTCAATTCACCTCAAATTTGTTGAAATTTTTACATTTACTTGGGGTTATGCTCTTAAAGGAAACACTGAGTCACGATTCATAAGAAAAAGAAAAGATAAATCCCAACAGATTTTTTAATTGTGATGTTAGAAATGCATAGCTTTTGGTATATTTATCAAGGATGTTAGCAAGTGAAGATTATGGAGCTAATTCACAGTATGCATAGTCATTTGGATGTTTGAAAGTGAATCTCATTAAACATTTCAAATTGGTACACCCAGCTTGTGGAGTCTTTTCTTTTTTAGGCCTGTGCACTTTTTTTAATGGTACACAGCTCTGCTCTACATACTATTTTCTGTCTATAGGTAGTTCAGTAGGTATCTTGAGCTACCTCTTATTTTAAGATTAGGCTGAATTGTATCATCATGTATCTTCCACAGCAGGTGGAGAGGGGAGAGTGCCCTTTCACCCATCCTTATTCTGTCCTCTGGGAGGAGGGCTGTTGGATGCTTGATAGCACTTTTACAGCCATAGATGCAGCAGTGTTGTGCCTCTGGCCCTCCCTCATTATTGCAATGTAGGGTGGACAGTGCAGCCTATTTTGCCAGCTTTTCACTGTGTCTCGTATCTTCACGCTCATGATATGTTGCATGCCATACCATGTATGAGTAACAGTGAACACACAAGCCTGTCACTAAGCTAATAGTTCTGAAATATGGAGAAGATGAAAATTTACCTATCTGTATAAAATGAGTGAGATACAGTCAAAGTACAGGACAGCCTGAATGTAACTATTTGTAGTAGTTTGTCTTCCATCTTACTGTGTCATGCTGCAGTTTTATCTAATTTAATGATGGCATGCTTGTAAACAGGGCTTTACAAAAATGTGGTATGTTTTAGAATGCTAACAGTAACTGAAACAAAAATAATTTCATAGGCCTGGGTTTGCCTAACTTAATTGAATTCTCAGCAGGCTGATTCTGTATTGCAAAAATGACTCCTATCCCCTGCTACTTTGTAATTTACCAAGAAAAGAACAGGCACGCTTGTTGGCTTTCCTTGTGCTGCTTTGCCAAACTAATGTGGAACAGACATGATTAGGGTATTTTGCTCTGCTTGTGATCTAAATTAGATGACCTTACGATGACATTGATACCTTACTTTTTGCTAAAGATCCTTATGCCCAGGAAGAAGACCTTGAAATAAAATTGTTCATCTTCTCAGTCCTCTTTGTCCAATCACTATGTTAAACGAATAGTGTTAAATATGTTATACCACTTTTATATATCGTGTTCAGGTGTTTATACCAGGTTGTATAATTTGAACTGCAGTCCAAGTCAACATTCTCTTAGAAAGTAGCATCCTCTAAATAGTATTTGAAATTCCACAAATGATGGATTAAGGAGTGATATTTATTCTGCGGGTTTATGTTCTCCAGCAATACATTTTCCATAGCATTCAGTAAGTGACCTGCTCATTTTATTTCCCAATATGCTTACTGATTTTGGTCTCTCTGATGCTCTTTTATAAAGGGGGAAACTGGTTTTGGTTTATGCCAAAGTAGTCTGCAGTAGTTACTATGATTTGAAGAAAAACTCTATAATTTTCTGATGTTTCTATAAT